ATACTTAGTAGTCAATTTAACAAATTACCTGTGTTTTGTGTAAATTATTAAAACATTGGTATGAATTGTGATTGCTACAGATTATCATTATTATTTAAGTTCTGCATGTTCACATAGTAGTTTAATGTAATATGTTATCTAATCTGCAAATCTGCATTTTTATGTATCAATTCACAAACTAGTGCTTGTGTACACGCCTCAGTTATTAAGAAGGAAATAACCACTATGTTAGATCTTGACATGATTTTCCTAAGAATAAGTTATAAATTAAGCATTTATTTTTCTTACTAATTTACTTCGTTAAATTATTTAAATATGGAAACCATTAGACTGGGTTGGCTTTAATGCCTTTGCAACCTACTTAAGCAAACCAAAACCTAAGCCTGTAATGTTTCAAGGTTAAGAAATAAAACCCTAAGGACAACCACAAACAGCCAAATAAGCTTTTCCAAATACTATAAGCAATTAAGCTATGGCTCACCAGGTGATTCCTCAGCTTTGCTTTCCCCTCTTCTCTATAAATGTTTCTCCCCCAGCTCCTGTTGCGGGAGCGTTCCTGACCACTTTATGTTTTGGTATTGCCTCATTCAAATAAATTTTGTTCGAATAATTCTTAAAAATTTTAATATACACCAGTTTATATATTAACAATATTTAATTGGCAAATCTTTCCTAGAGTTTCTTTGAAATCTAATTTGTCCTCTTTTATTGCCCAAGTATTACAAAATTTAAATAACTGAATAATTGTTTTTCAATTAAATATAAGGAGGCAGTCACAGCAGACTGTGTTTCTTTGCATTTTATTTTTATGGATGGTGTTTTGTTTTGTTTTGTTTTGTTTTGTTTTGTTTTAATATGGAAATACCAGCTATCTGTCAGATCTACCCTTGAATTCACTACTTATGCATATCACAACTTCTGGTAACAAGCTTGAGGTAGAGAAAAACTATTAGCTATTCATAGAGCTACCCTTAAAGCTAATTGCTTGTTTAATACGATCTTTTGCTTAAATAACAACCATAAATAATTTTAAGTGTATCATTATATAAGTATGTTAGAAATGTTTTATGCACTGAATTTTACACTATAGAATGAGTCCCAGAAGATAATTTTGTATGTAACAGTACTACTATACCAGAAGGCCATACTTAAATCATTTTCCTGGGAAATAGAGGAGAAATGGGAGGAATCAATGATCCCTTCCCTCACCCAGGATTTCATTTGTCAGCCCTGAAATAAAGATGAACTTCCTTATTTCATGGCATTGTTATTCACTCCCTTCCTTCCTTCTTTCTCATTTCTCTTCCCTTATAAAGACACCCAAACTACTTGAGTGGATCTGTAACCTTCATTCCACCTTCCCTGTGTTGATTTAGAAAAATGAATTAATAAAAAGTGCATGATGTTATAGTAGACAGGTATGGTTTTAAATTTACGTAAATAATATTGTGTATATTTCATTCTGTTCTTTTTTACACATTGTTATGTTTTTTAGGTAGCTGTGTATAAATCTAGTTCATGGCTTCTGACTCTTAGAAACAATGCCTATATGTATTATGAAAGGGCACACAAGCATGCACACACATATACGTTTTATATTTGAAAATCTCAAGGAAAAGCACGTGGGAGACAGTGAGTTAAGAGCTGACCTAACCTCTCCCTATTTGAAGATGATGTTTAGTTCAAAGAACAACTGACATACTGACAAGTCATACCTGAATACAAGGCAGATATTTTCTTGAAAATAAATAAAGTAATCCTGCCATATTAAGGGAAACTGCTGATCGTAATTGTTGCTAGTGATAACATTTGAAATTTCAAGTGAAAATTAGAATTTTGGAAAAATGTAACTGCCAGTGTGAGCTTGAGAGTTGCAATACTTAAAGATTTTTTTCTGATGAAATTGGCAGTGATATTACTGAATGTGACTTTTCAATATTATGTAATAAAATGTCATCATTTGGAGAATCTGCATAGCTCAGTGAGCTTATATTATACAAATGACCAAACATAATGTTACAAAATCATCTGTGAGTGAAAGATCTATACAAAGTGCACAATAAACCAATGGATATGAAGAATTCACTGGTAAATTTTAGATCGCATAGTGCAGTTAAAATTTAAGAAATCATTGCTTGTCAAGTTTTTTCTCACTTGTCAGGTTTTTAAAAGAATGTGCACATTATCTGAATAGGTTACTAAAATACTCCTCCTTTTTCCAACTATGTGAAGCTGGATTTTCTTTGTATTCCTCAGCCAAGAAATATTTTGCTATAGATTGAATACAGAAACAAATATGAGGACCTCCGTGTCTTCTCTTAAGCTAGGAAAAGAGGTTTTCAAAAGTGTAAAACAACCGCTTTTTGGTAAATTTTTAGTTTTAGACAACATAATTATTTTTATAAAATTATGGTGTTTATGTTAAAATGTAATGGACTTATTGTTATGTTTTAATAATTAATAAGCATTTCCAAAACTTATTAGTACTAATTTCTAATCATATATATATATATGTGTGTGTGTATATAATTTATATATCCCACAATGCCCTGTGTAATTATGTTTGCTCTTTGGAGTTTTTAATAACTTTATTAAAGGAGTCTTGAGACCTGAAATTATGAGAACTAGTGTACTTAATAAGTCCCTGTCAGTTTTTTGATATCACAGTTATCTTCTCCTAGCCTGTCACCTTTCTATTAACTTTACCTATGATGATGTATTTGGTTAAATAGAAATATTTAATTATTTTTGGAGCCAAAACAATTTTTGCTTCATAATTCTGTTTTATTCACCTTAAAACAATGGCTTCTTCAACCATAAGGTCCCAAAAATACATATCTACATTTCTTTTCTATTACATGAACATTGTTACTTTTCACATTCGGTCTTCAGTACATTCTAATACAACTTCATATCTCTCTATATAGAAAATCAGTTTCCCCAACAACATATACTAAATAATCTACCCTCTCTTTACTGACTTGTAATGCTGGCTCAAATATGAATATATTTAATATATTTTCTCAAGTAAGAAAAAAAGGGTACCATACACAAGATACTAGAATATTGCTCATCCATAGCTATGTGCTAATTTGCCTAACATACTAAAATAAGGTATCTTTCATAGGTTATTTATTTCAAACCCCACAGTTAAAATTCTAAAATAAATCTTAGAAAGAAAACAAATAAAGATCAATGCAAAGAGTAATAAGTAAAATTTACCTCAATGGGGGATATTCTCTTTTTGAGCCTCCAAAAAAGTATGGAACCCATAATATGTATGTGTAAATAATTTTGATGTCTGTGAATTAAAATGAGAAGAGTGAAATTGGACCCCAGAGTCAATTCACTCAGCGTTATTGGTTTAAAAATGTTGTTTATAAGGTCTGTGTCACAAGAGTGAAAGAGAGACATGCCCACCAGTCAGGGCCTGAGGGTTACCCAACCCCTATTCTTCAACTCATCAAAATACCAGGGTTTTTAATTTTTATGTTTATTTTTCATACATAAGTGAGACTGAGAATTGTCATGTGAGAACCAGCTGGGGAGGAACCTCATGATATTCAGAGAAGGAAGGTGAGACTAGGAAACTGAGAATGGAGAGGAAGGTAGACCTTGCCACAGTGGTCTACTTTCAAAAGCCTTAAAAGGGTGCTGCCTACATGCAGGATTCAGGATTTCCCTTAACACAATAACATGTGTAATATGTATAATTCAAAGGAAATAAAACATTGGAGACATTTTCATAAGTCGCAGTGTTTGTCTAGGGTGGAAACATTGTAAGAATAGCTTTCTTCCAATTTTTAACTTTTTGAATATCTTATAGGAAGGTAGGTGGGTAGGTAGGTAGACAGACAAACTGATTGCACAGGGCCTCATTTCTAATTGCACATTTTCTACTATTTCAAATGCTAACTCTCAGAATCTTATTGGAAGATGGAAACCCCTAATCACTTATATGAATCTGAAGATTTTCAGGTTTTCTTTAGAAAATGGTCTCTGAATTATTAATATTAGGATATATTTATTTTTTAATTTGCAACTGGAGAAGAAAACTTTATAATAGTGTTTCAAGAACATTGAAAGAGTACCTTTCTATTAAATATAAGATTTTGCATACAGCCTAAAGGCATTTTAAAGTGAATAAAACAATTTTTAATGTTTTCTATAGGCGAAGAAAATATTTTATTTTAGCATTTATTATACATTGAATACCAAAAGGAGCTCCCCCCATTTAAATATAAGAAGAATACTAGCAAATTTATTAGAGGCTTTTACTCTTGCAGCAAACTATCATTGGGTCATTAAAAATGGGGGGGAATATGAAGATAAAATATCAGTTAGAAAGAAAGTCTCCATGTGGTGAAATAAAGAGAATAGCAAACATTTGATGAAAACCCTCTACAACCTATAATGGAGATGATAAGGAAACAATAATGTAAAGATCTAGAATCTAAAGACATTTCTGTTTATTTCAGGTTTTTTGTCAATATTTTTGCCTTTATCTTTTCTTATTCTAGTACTAAAAGATCTCAGAAAGATTTTTATATTTTTATTTTAAATAGAAATGTGTAGAAACCTAAAGCATTGGAGACAGAATTACAATTATATTGACCTGAGAGGCTCGCTGTATTGTCACCGAGGTGGTTCGTCAAGATGATGCTCCCCCCTTTCAGTTTGCTAGGTCACACCTGCATGTCAGAACCCACCAGTACTTTCCCTACTTAATACCCTCAGGGCACATTATCCTGTTCAAAGTTTGTACAAAAACATGTCGTTCCTTGAAAGAAGAAAGCCATTAATGTTTCACTGGAGAAAGATTTTGAAACTAAACTTGGTATATTTTTTCATTTCATTTGAAAAAAGTATAAGAAAATTATCTTAATGTATTATTTTAAATATACACTAATAAATAAAAAAGTTCTAGTCCCAAAATGGATAGTTTCAATATTGTAATCCTGAGAGCAATGTAATAATCATTGATTATCTTGTTTCTTCAGATAAATTTACAAAAAAAAATGAGAGTCACAGGTGTGATCACCCAAGGAGCCAAAAGGATCGGAAGCCCAGAATATATAAAATCCTACAAAATTGCCTATAGTAATGATGGAAAGACTTGGGCAATGTACAAAGTGAAAGGCACCAATGAAGACATGGTAAGAATGAAATACTTAATTTAAAAGTCAAATTGCATTAATAATCATTGATTACAAGTAAATAATCAGTCTTCAGCAGAAGCTTTAATTTGCTGAAGATAAATTTATGATTTTTAAAAATTGGACAAGTGGGGTGAAAGAGGTAAGGAATTTCTCCAAGTTATAAATGTATACTGGTTACCATATAAAACTTTCTCTGGTTTCAATTTGTGGTCTTATGAACACTTTATCGCAGGTTAACCATATGCATATAACAATTGTTTTATTTAAAAAATACTCAGTTTTCAATTTCATTTCATTGCTTTGACAAATTAACACTCTCCATAATCAAATAACTATAGATCTAAACTATTATTTGTAAAGGCAAAAATATTATTTTAAAAGCAAAACACCAAGTGATAGAAATGAGGTATATATCTTTACATACTTAACATTGGAAGAAAAATTTTGTTACTTAGAGGAATAAAATATTTTAAAGGAAATAAATATTCAATGTCCCTTGCCATTTATATGATAGTCTCATAGTCCCAATTTTTAATTAATGTTTTCTGAAATTTTTTAAAAAATATCATGATTTCAGCTCATTCCATGTAAAACCAAGTTCTTAGACCAAATTCTAATGAATTATAAAAGATTTTTTAAAAACATCTTCTTAAAAAAATTAGTTATCTGACTACCAGGTTATATAAAAGGTAAAATAAGAATGAGATTTAAAGGAATTAAAAATAACATTTTTAACCCTTATTTTTAAAGGAACCCTTATACTTTAGAAGGAAGTATAGATTTTTACTGGCTATATATATATATATATATATAGAGAGAGAGAGAGAGAGAGAGAGAATTAGTAGTCTCTTATGCAATGATCTGGTACTTACTAATGAGGGAGTAATCTTAGGAATCAGACCCTAAAGCATCACAAGTCTGATCATAGCTTTAGAGAGACTGAGTGATCAGGAAACACTAGGAAGAGCTAGTTTCTAATATATATATATATATATATATATATATATATATTTCAACTTAATGTGAGTCTGTCCATTTTGCTATATATGTATAGCATATATATGTGTGTGTGTGCATATATATATATATATATATATATATAGTGTGTGTGTGTGTGTAGCAAAATGAACAAACCCACATTAAGTTGAAAGGCTTAAGGTGCCCATTTCTCAAAAAATGAGTGAGTCATTCTTCTGGCTTTAAAGGTTCGAAGGACTGGCCTTAAAATTGTCAATACACTCGTAGTAGAATACAGACTATACTGTGGGCCACAGCAGTTTTTAACTTTAAGCATTTTATCTATAGATTTTATATATTTGGCTGATGACAAGGTGCTCCTTATATCCACCAGACCCCCAAATTGTTTAATCCAATTTTAGAAAGATTATGTTGAGTAAGACATAGGATCAATATATAAAAATAGGTAAAGGAGCTATTAAAATTAATAATTACAACTCTATGTTATGTCTGTACACAGGTGTTCCGTGGAAATGTTGATAACAACACACCCTATGCTAACTCTTTTACACCCCCCATAAAAGCTCAGTATGTAAGACTTTATCCCCAAGTTTGTCGAAGACACTGTACTTTGAGAATGGAACTTCTTGGATGTGAACTATCTGGTGAGTCTCATATTAACTAGTTCAGTATTTTATTTAAAAAATTTGTAGAGTATTAATAACTTGCAATTTTTCAATTTTTTGCTATAAAATGTCTAGCTCATGGTTTAGTGAGAAACTGTGTGTTTGTGTGTAGAATAAATAAGTTCTTAAAAATACTGCAGAGGAGAACTAATGTAAGAAGGTGCAGTGTATTTCTTTGAGTGATCAATGAGAGTACAACATGCCCTGGCTGGTATGGTTCAGTGGATTGATCACTGGCCTGAGAAACAAATGGTTGTTAGTTTGATTCTCAGCCAGGGCACATCTATGGGTTGCATGTGCCCTGGCTTGGTTGCAGTAGGGTGAACACATGAGGCAACCACACATTGATGCTTCTCTCCTTCCTTTTCTCTCTCTCTCTCTCTAAATATAAATAAACAAAATCTTTTTTAAAAAAGTACAGCAAAATATCACTGGGAGCCTTTTGCTTATTTAAACATGTCTTGTTTTTAGCAATACCTATGATTTATGTTTTGTGACAAAATTTCAGTAAAAACAGTAATCTCCCTGATTTCGTAAATTGCAGTTACATTTAGGCTATATAGAATAGAAAAGTAAGCTTTATCTTTGTCTACCTACTGTAAGAACTTAGTTTTGTTTTTTTTTAATGAAACAGTATTTCAGAACTAAGACTGCTACTATAAATTCATTCTTGGATCATTCTTATCAACCATCTTGCTTATTGTACAAACAATGATTACCCAATTCAAAGATAATCTATCAAGACTCAGAATTAAATAATTCTTGTCTTACAAGAGCATCAGTATCAGATACAAAGATGAAGGCTTAATGTGTGGATCTCACAGTGGTTCCATTTCAATATAGCTACATTCTGAACTAAACAGAAAAATACTGCCTAGGCATTTCATTGTTATATTTTTGGTAGTTGTTTTTATAATTTTAGAATCAAGATTTACAAATTATCTTTTCTGCTGTGGGCTGAAATTATTTTGTTCCAAAGACTGTGTTTTGAAAAATAAGAATTAATGGGTGCCTGCTTTTTAGCATAACTTTCAAATAGAAAAGACTTTTAATAATCTCACAATAATGTTATTCAGTTAAAAATAAAAGGACAGATTCTTATTTTTAGAATAATAGAATAATTAATAATAGAATAATTCTTGCAAAAGGACAACTGAGAACTATTTATTCATTCTAATATTTAACCAATATTCAAGAGGTTGCATATTGGTTAAAATGTATACTTCAGGTCCGTCTCTCCTCTTAGACTTATTTGTGATACTGAAAAAATTTATTTTTAAGCAAATAAAAGTTACTTTTAAAAAACAAAGTTTAGCCCTGGCTGCTGTAGCTCAGTGGATTGAGTGCGGGCCTGCAAACCAAAGAAAGGATCGTGGTTTGATTCCCAGTCAGGGCACACACCTGGGTAACAGGCCAGTTCCCAGCAGGGGACCCAGGAGAGGCAGCCATTACATTGACACTTTTCTCCCTCTCTCCTTCCCTTCCCCTCTAAAGATAAATAAATAAAATATTTTTTTAAAAGTTTACTGCGAACCAAAAGATTGTGGTGCGATTCCCAGTCAGGGCACATACCTGGGTTGCAGGCCAGTTCCCAGCAGGGTCCAGTTCCCAGCACAGGATGCACGATAGGCAACCATACATTGATATTTCTCTCCCTCTCTCCTTCCCTTCCCTTCTAAAGATAAATAAATAAATAATTTTTAAAAAAAGTTTAAATGAACCCACTACATTGAAAAGAATTAGAGACAGGTAGATGAGTGAATCTGTGTTAAGAATCACATGTCATATTATGTATGGGTATCTTTTATGAAACAGCCAGCATATGTTTTTAGTATTATTAATTATCCTAATGAGGATGTTTTCCTAATTTCGATAAATGAAACTGGCTTATCGACTACCAGTGAATTGGAGCAGAATCGTTGCTGTGCAGCGTTTGTGTGGCACGTCAGTGTATCACCACAGGCTGGTGTCAACCCTAAGTCATTCATCATAAAGCAATCACGAAGAAGCCACAGTATGATGAGGTTTGCTGCAGGCTCCCTGGTTTTTAGTTGCTTAACATTACCTTCCCCAACTCTTCAGCTTTTTGATTCATGAAGGTCAGTCTCTCATACAAAGCAGAGTTACACCCCTAAGGTGTGGGTGTATTTTACTTTCGAGTTTGACAAGCGGTTACACCTGACACTTCACAGATTTTATGTCCTCCAAAAGAAGCCATACACATCCCCGCAACCCCACAGATTGATTCTGAACTTTCTTGCAGAGAATAATATCACTCGATGGATGCCTTTGAAAGCTATGCAACTCACAATAGAAATAATCAATTTCATTGTTCATATTTCATTTTGTACAGATGTTGCTCATGCTGGTTAAAGAGTTAATTAATTTGTATGTATGAAATCATATGGATGAGAAGGGAGATTTGTGAGGTGAATTGGAAGAGATCAGTTATTACTTTTAGAAATAAACAGTGACATAATGTACCAAACTATTTCTCACAATCCAGTGCAACAGTGTGAAGCCCAAGGTTGCCTTAGAATATTCAATAAGCTGTTATAAGATCTCTCAGCCTGCCTGGAAGATCAGCAGTTAATCTTTCCCCGGACACTTAAAAAGAAAATCTCCTAAATTCTCTGAGAGAGAGGTGATTGAAGATGTTTAGAATGAAGTGGATCATAACTGAAACTAGAAGAGGAAGAGTCACTCATTCATTCTTTGAACAAATTACTCAGAACTTCCTCTAGGCTAAGTACTAGGAATGGAGTGGCTATCAAATGAAGTCTAAGAATTAGAAATGGTCAGTGTGAAGGCACCCTTTTTCTATGCAATATTTGAAATACCGTTACATCACGAAAGGAAAAAAGAACAACCACCTTTCTGTTTCCCTTGTATCACAGTGAAAGAAAGTTTAACAAAGACTCCAGTAGCAGGGCAAGGTGAGAGTGGGCACTTGGTGAAAGAAATGTAAGAACAAGTCAGCAATCTGTAATATAGACAATACATGTTATCTTAGAACTGCCTAAAGATAGATGGCATGCTGTTAAGACTTATAGAGCTTTCTACAATCTTTGAGATTTGTCATAAAAATTTTCTTTTCTTTTCTTTCTTTATTTTTAAATCTTTATTATATTTTTCATCACCTTTTAGTCTCTTCATGCCCCTCCCCCAGCCATCACCACACTGTTGTCCATGTCCATGAGTCATTTTTCATTTTTGCTCAATCCCTCCATCCCCTAACCTCCCCCCACTAGTTGACATCCTGCTTTCCACCTATGGGTCTGTCTCTGTTTTCCTTGTAAGTTCAGTTTGTTCATTAGGTTCCACATATGAATGAAATCATATGGTATTCGTCATTCTTTGACTTGCTTATTTCACTTACAATAATGAAATTTTTCTTCTCCAGAATTTGTATTTAAGAGTTAGAGTTGTTTTTATCATGGGAGTTAGAGTATATGTCTCCTATCCCTAACACCCAACAAAGTTTGTACTAAGGCATAACCGGCGAACCCTCCATGACCATTTTCATCATGTTTGCATTGGATGAGCATGTCCCAGACGGTGGAATTGAAGGTAGACATGGAGAAGCCTCAGGAAGGAAGAAGCAGTCTAGATTGACTAAGACAGAAAGTAATTAATTGTTGTTAAAATATTTTTCAATAAAAATTCTAAGCCACTTCTCTTAGAGCCTCGACCTAAAATGGCTTGGTTTTAGAAACTATAGCCAGTGTTCTGACATTCAGTACTCACTGATAGGCTGAGCTGAAGTCTTAACATTGTGATCTGTTGGAATGAGCCTTACAGAAATAATAAAAACAGCAGGCACTGTTTTCTCTTTATATTTATTAACTAATTTCTTAAAAGGTAGGTTCTATTTTATTACTATTTTAAAGATTCGAAACCTGAAGTCAAATGTGGTTAAATAATGCATACGAGCCCATACAGAGAGGAAGTGGGGGACCAACAAGGTGTGAGAAGGTGGCATTGACTGCAAAAGTCTTCCTTTTATCCTGGCTTTCTTGATGATCAGACTCACCTTGTGTGTTCCTTGGCCAAAATGCAACATAAGGAAGATGCATACACTGGCTAATATGGTAATAGAATCATGCTTCCTATCACAGACTTTATGGATGGAATTTTGTCACAATTTTAACTTAAGGTTGGGAATTCATGTGTACACACAAAGAGAGAGAGAGAGAGACACCTTTTCAGGGATAGATAAACCCAAATGTTGCACCATGCCAAACTTTGAGACATATGTGGTAGAACTGAAAATCTCCCCAAAATATCCAATACTAAAAGTTACTGAGTATGATCAAAATATAAGAACATATCAAAAGCTTTATCCTGTAATAGCTTTTGCTAAAATCACCTTACTTTCTTGTTTTCTATTTAAATCCTACACTTGCACAATGCCTGGCACACGGTATGCATTGAGTCAATATTAGCTTCTCACCTTCCGGAAGAAGCTGCGTTAGTGCTATAGGATTCAGTGATAAAGATGACAGATGTTTCTTGGGAAGGAAAATGCTGTCCAGTTTATAATATACCATTGGAGCAGTCTGTGGAAATGCCTTTGTACTGAGGGAATTTTCATTTGCAGGATTATGGAAACAAATAAAAGAAAACCAGATTTCCTTTGTGAGAAAATGTTCCATTTTTGAAGACACAATGAAACTGTTGAAAACTAGGGAACAGTCATGTGGCTATCATTAATGAGGCAGGAGAGAGCATTTCAGCATTGTTTTCATTTTGCAAAATCATCTATCACGGAAATGTAGTTTGAATTGACTGTGTTGTTTTCAACTTTTCCAAAATATATTCAGACAAAATAAACCGAATTGGCTATTTCGTTTTCCATTTTGTTCCAGAGTTATTTCTGATTATAGCCTTTTCTATTTTTTTGAATTTAGATCCTCTCTCTTTGGGGAAATGAATAGCATTATGCTTAATCTTCTTTTGCTTGTCCAAAATAAAGACAGAAAACTTCCAGGATAATAAATTATTTTTTTTCTCATGGAGTCCTTTTCATTTTCCTGCAGGCTGTTCTGAGCCTCTGGGGATGAAATCAGGACATATCCAAGACTATCAGATCACTGCCTCCAGCATTTTCAGAACTCTCAATATGGACATGTTCACTTGGGAGCCAAGGAAAGCTCGGCTGGACAAGCAGGGCAAAGTCAATGCCTGGACTTCCGGCCACAATGACCAGTCACAATGGTTACAGGTAATATTTTCAAAAACTGTTTCACCACCCCCTGCCCTTCTTCTTTCGAAAGATTTCTTCCTGGCTGGTGTGGCCCAGTGAATTTAGTGCCAGCCTATGAGCCAAAGAGTCGCCAGTTCTACTACCAGTCAGGACACGTGCATGGGTTGAGGGCCAGGTACCCAGTAGGAGGCACTTGAGAGGCAAGCACACGTTGATGTTTCTCTCCCTCTCTTTCTCCCTTCCCTCTCTAAAAATAAATAAATAAAATTGTAAAAAAATAAAAGATTTCCTGTTGGTTAGGTGAACATTGGAGTCATTACCTTTATATCAATTTAAATGTGCCTCCCTATTTGGCTTCACTAAACTGGTAAAACAAAAATTCCTATGAAGCCATGTTTGTGTGCTGTTACTCCAGCGTTGATTTATAGATGCTACTGTCAGACTGTTGCAGCAGACTGTACCAGATCACAGTCCATATAGGTCAATTTGATTGATTATGAGAACATTTGCATTTTAACTCTCCTCAATTCTAATGCTTCATGTCAATATGCATTTGAAAGTGTCGCAGCAGGAATCTAAACCACCTTAAAATCATGCCACTGACCCGAAGATTGTTCCCGTAGAACCATGAATCATGACTTATTAGCTGTTCCCCAGTGGTTGCTAGGCGATGGAGCAATTTGATTACACTCTCATAAGAGAGATAGGTTATAGAAGAAAAGCACAAATAATCTTTTCTTCACTTGACCCCATTTTCCGCTATTCTCAAAGTTAGAAATATTTACCTTTTTCTTTACTTTTTCCTAACTTTCTATCCAGATCTCAATTGATCAGGATCTTTATTGAGCTCTTCTGCTAGCTACCATGCTTTATAGATAAAAAGTATGTCTTTCTCTTTGAACTATTCTATGAGTTTTTTTTATTTTGAAATATATTCACCCTCCCAGAACTCAGGACTTACTAAGTTAAATCATTCATTTAACAAATGTTGGTTTGTGCTGCACTTGTGAAGCATCGCATAGCGTAATAAATAGGGATGGCATGTGAGCAAGCATCGCCCTATTCATGCTCTTGAGACATTTCGTCTTTTGAAGACCATTCCTTTTATTTGATTTGTATGACACCACACTTTGTTTCTTCCATCTGTCCAGCTGGTGCTCCCCAAAGTCCTCCAGGTCACCCTTCCTCTGCCTGTTATCTCCCTGCCAACCTCCCTCTCACCCACTCCACACACTCACATTGACTAATTTGTAAGTATTGGCTAGTTCAGCTACTCTAAAACCATTCCTCTTCTCACCATCCCTGCTGCCACTTCTGTGTTCTTGGTTAATCACCCTAGTTGGTTGCTGCTGCCCAGTTTCTGGCCCTACTCTTTAAAAGCTATTTCCCTAATTGTAACAGATATGATCTTTCTTTTTTCAAGATACAAATATGATTTTCTTACTCTTTTTGAAAACTTTTCAACTACTTCCCATCAGCTTCCCTAGAATAAAATGCAGGCTTTTTAGTATAACCTGAAAGTCTTTGCATGATTCAGCCCTGCTACCTCTCTTGCCACACTGCACTAAATTTGCTTCATTTTCTCAAAGAAACACTCACTCTTTTCCCATCCCTTTATAAATGTCCTCTTCCTAGAGGAGAATAATGGGAAAGCACCTCTACCCCCAGCATCCCCAGCCTTGCATTGGTGTAATCTTCAGCTAGAGTTTGGATACACATTCCCCCTGTGTGCAGCCAAAGTAAGCCACCGCCACCACTTGCAGTTTTAATTAGGTGTTGCTATATCTGGCTTCAGTTGTCTCCTTTGTACTTCTCTGTCATGTGCGATTCTCATGTAGCATCATCACACTGTACTGGAAATTGTGTTTTCATGCTTCATTGTTGGCTGCAGGAGGGATGGGGCCACCTCGGTCTTTTTGTCTTTCTAAACTTGTCCAGTACCAAAGTAAATGCTTGTCACAATGCTTGATACGTGGGAGTCATTCATTAAATACTTGTTGAATTAATGCTTAATTAACTAATACTAAAATATACTTTAATTTCTTGATTTAGGACTGTATAGCATATAAATGTGACCCAACGTTTAAGAGGCCAATGGCTGATAAGCTCAAATTTAACATAATATTTGAAAAAGAAACTAAAACCTCACAGTAAATATCTGGACTTTATAATATAGGAGATAAATTGTTATAATATATACTCTTTATGAAGTTTCAAGTTCTTAATTTGAAAAGCTATGGAAACATTTTTTTCCATTTGTCAGAATTAAATGGTAAAGTTAAACTTTTTTTGTTGATGTATAGTATGTTTAAATTGGAAATATTCTAGTCATACATCAGATTAAATATTATTTGTGAGTCATAATGCCCTGAAGAATAATACAAAATATTTTACAAACTGTAAGTAACTCAGAGAGGTTGATAGATTTTAGAAATACCTATAGGAAGGGCTTGTCAATTGCAAATTTCTTTAGAAAGATAAAAATAAATATTTTTATACAAATCAAGGTGTACGCTTCAGTGCAACCCTCCATCCATCACTTTTTTTTAAGATGGCTTTTTGACTGTCTTCATAGTCACTTGCATGCTGAAATTGATTCAGTCTGTTGGTGACAGATTATCAATTCAAGAACCAGCTCTTCCAACATATGTCTCTTTTTTGTTGTGTCAAAACACATTCAGAATCTTCAAGGCAAGGTAAATTGATATCTTTACTTACATTTATTTTTTTCTTTCTTGACATCATTCAAGAAAAGGCCTCAGAATTACTATCATTTTTAGTGTTTTCTCAAGAAAATATAATCTGTTCAACTGTAGACTACTATGGTTGTGAGTGTGTTTGTGGAAAATAAGATTAACATTTTTTATTGATAATATATAGGGTAATTTTACTTTTGAGTTGTTGACATAGAGTCAATTACTATCCTTATTTGAGATTTCCACATTTATAAGCTTTAGTTGTGTTTATAAATAAGATATATTAACTCTGATAAACAGTTCTTCAGGAAAAAAAGCATGTCTGTCACTTAAATTCCTTTCCTCCATCATCAATCTCCTGCTCATTGATTTTAAAATAAATTTATTTTATACACTAACTCTATATTTCACTCTCTAATGATAAGAGTCTTATTTCAGTTTAATAGGCATTTCCAAACCCAGTTTAATAGATAATGTCTGCAAATACAATTGTTCTAAATGAAAACTCAAAAATGTTTTAAGGAATTTTTATGTTTTCAAATATCACTTTAACATTTTATTCCTATTGTTACTCTAATGTTTCCTCCAGTCTCTTCTATATGGTCAAAATCTCAGAGTTTCTTAAGCAAATATTCCTATATTATTTTTAGAAGTCATTTTACCTAACCGATTAGCAGCTTCCCTGAGCTAATGTTAATCATGAAATCATTATGCTATTCTTAGGTAAACATGGCAAAAATATGTTAAGTCCACAAGCAGCCCTAAATGAGCGGGATTTTCACACCTCTGATAAAAATGTTTCATCACTTTGATGTGTTTGCTGTTTTCAAATTCTGAGCAAGAAGCCCTAGCAATGTGTTTTCAGAAATCACAGGATTTGGGTTTGTTGGGGTTTTTGTTGTTAAATTATAGTTTTTGCCTTTTAAAAAATTTTACACCTAAACTTAAAAATCATAGGCCATTCATTCCTGACTCATAGGTGGACATTTTTTGACATATGGTTGGAGTAGATTTCATCCATGTTAAAAAATAAAGCAACTTTTAATTCACTGAGATTTTTTAGGAGCAGACTATCATATGTGGCTAGTGTCCCAATAGAAGACCCAGAAATTTTGCTAGATTTTAAGGTGGATTAAATAAGACAAATTACAGAATAGGAGAGACACGTAGTAAGTATCCAGCAATAGGTAGCTTCCTTCTTTCTCTTTCCAGTAATTTGTGTAAACTCATGAGAGCATAATTTTACCAAGAACGAAGATCTGCATGCATATTCTTTGCTTCTTTCAAAATGTAATTTCCAATAAAACTACAAAAGATAAAGTAACATATTGTTTGATCAGTTGCAAACTGTGATAAATGTTGATAAATTCCATAAATTTGCATTGACAAACAAAGCATTTTTAATTTTTTGTGTATGTAGCATTAGATTTTTCAAATTATTTACTTGGGAATAGTAATAATATTATTAATAACTTAAAATGAACATTATATCATTTGGCAATGGTCTCTACTGAAATAATATCCTTTTTAGACTGGCCATATGTTTTTATGTCCATTTTCAGTGGCTTTCAACACATTGAGTAAATTCCCTTCATATTTATATACAAACTAATTAAAATTCAGCATTAAAATTGTGCTGTTTAGTATTCTATCAAGGGTAGAAGCACTAGTGATGAAGATCTTATTAACTGTGAAAAAATATTTTGGTATAGTAAATGCAAATAAACAATGAGCGCTCTAAGAATTAACTTAGATTGACTAACCAACTTTTTAAAAAGTCTTACATATGTATTGATTTCCTTATTGGTGGTAATTCACCTCTATAATTGAATCTATTCAAAAGCTTTTCAGATTTCATAAAGGGAAGCATAATATAAATGACTAACAGGAAGAAGACTGTTACAATGTCACCTAGGAAATGACCTTTTGACCTATTTCATGAAACATTTGCTAATTTAAGGTGGTATGCATAGTATTTTATCCAAATTAGTAGAATTAATTGAGTCATTAAACTGCATACTTTAATGTTGACCTTTGTCAAAATTGCAGCTAACCCTACACAACTTCATTTCAGTACTAATTTTAAGGAAATGTGTAAGAAAGCAATTGCATTTAAGTTTCTTAATTAAATAAGCCATATTTAATTTAGTCCATTTTAGATTTTTAAAAGCATGCATTCTAGACATAAAACTCATAACTTCTTTAAAACCATTAACTTCCCTTGCCCCCTGGACAATTTAATTTATTTACATTAGAACTAGAAGGGAAAAATTCAAGGAACAAGGGACCTCCAGGCTTCTGGGAAACATTTGTCAATATGGA